CTAGATTAGGGCCGATTAAGATAATTTCCACGACGACGTTTAAGCGGAGGAAATAAATTTGCCAGACGCGCAGTCGCTCGAGTCTCTTTTTATTCTCCCTCCTTCTCTCTCCCTCTCTTTGTCTTTCTCTCTCGGCGACGTAACGAGCGCGGCGTTTATCATTAATTAAGCGCTTCTTATGTTCCTCGGTCGCGCCTGCGGAGCTTGTCCAGGACGTGAGGGGACGCGAAGTCTTCTCGCAAGAAAAGAGTCTCTCTCTCGCTCTCGCAGAGAATCCTATAAAGCGAAGTTACGCCACTGTCGATGTTCGGAACGCGGGGATGCGAGTGTCGCCCGACGAGCGCGGGGGTTGGTTATTTCACGGTCCACTCGCTCTACTCACACCGCTCAGAAGCAGCGGTGGCGGCCCCTTTCCCAAATCCACCCCTAAGAATTAATTCGAGAGAATCGTCCGGCGACCGACCGACAGCCACTCCTACCTTTTCGAGCGCCCTCGGATCATCTTCCCTCCCCAAACGGATCTCTCCCTCTCTCTCTCTCTCTCTTTATCTCTCTCGTTCTCCTTCTCGCTTTCTGCCGTCGCTCTCCTTTCCGTATTCCCGTTCGCGTCGATTTAACTTTCTCCTGACTCCTGCTTCGATAACACGCTCGCTCGACGGCGCGGCCGAGATAAGCGCGGAAGAAAGGCGGATTTCGGAGTCCTCGCAAATTGCCGCGCTCTGTTCTCCCGGATACACGCGTCGAGATTCGCCGTCCTTACAACCGCTGGGGAGTAACTGCATCGCGATGTGTGCACCGTGCTTGAGGATTTACCCTCTGACCGCATGATTAGAGTCAGACGCGACCCCACGGCTTGTTTATTTTGTTTCCAGCGTGTACAGTTTCTCTCCTTAAGGAACGTTTCACGAAACTGTTTACTTCTTTTATACATTTTGGAGATTTTCTACGTGGATTACACGCGAGATATGAACAAAACAGAACAGGACGGATCCAACCACATTTTCCTACGTTGAAAACCTATCTTGTCGGAGGATCAAAGATCGACACTTACCTTCCTTCGCGACACGGTGAGCCATTTTTCTCGCAGCAGACCCGGTCGTCCTCAGTTCGTCGTTGAGAGACTCGTGGCGCGATCGACGAGGACGAATACCTACAATGTGGACCGCACGCTCGAGGTTAGGTTAGGAGGAGCCACTTCGTGCGGCGACCGGGGTATGGAGAGACGGGAGGAGGGGGGGGGGGGGCAACACTTTTACCTTCAATTCATAATTAAGACCCGCATAAGCGGGCGGTCAGGTCGCCGACGACGCGTGTCGTCGCGCCGGGTAGCTTCTAATTTGAGCATCAAAGCAAGGCGCGAGCAATTTTCCGTCAATTGAACGTGGCGGCCTTTGGAAGTCGAGAACAAGGCGGCGCTGTGCGCTCGGAATTACGCGTGGCAGACACCGCGCTGGCTCCGGTGAAGCTGCGTCGCGTCTCAAAGCGGCTAACGCATACAGAGACGAGCTACCATCCGGCCCTCTAATGGCTTAGTTCACTTAGCGTACTTTCTCTCTCTTTCTCCCTCTCTCTCTCTCTCACTTTCTCTCTCCTTCTATTTTTCTCCCTTCTTCGACCCGCGAAACCGTCGCTGTGCGACGAACGACTTCCCCTTATTCGTTCTTCCGCAAAAACGCCGGCCACTTTTCTCGCGTCTTGAGATCAGGATCGAGCTACCGAGGTGGACGGACGAAGGATCGCCACCCGTTAAGGGTTGATAAAGAAAGCGCAAGCGGCGCGCTCGGGGGTGGCTCGGGAAGGTGGGTTGATAGGTAGGTCGGTAGGTGGAAAAGCAATTACGACGCGGAGATTCCGAGATACGGAGCAATTGGCTTCCCGTGTCGCCTTGATCGAACTTATGACTCTTGCTGCGTAAGGAGAACGTAGCGTAGAGCGTTAACAAGGAACTTGTGGGAAGTTGGATGCGGCGAGTGATCGATTCTGATCCGATGCCGATGAATCCCGGCATCATGACGTCGGGAATTGAAACTGAAAGAGCGGCGTCAGTTCGGACGCGCGAATGCGTCAGTACGATGTCTGGATGGTGTTCATGGAGGTACGTGAGAGCTCCGAGAGGGATATTCCAAGTCGGAATTTTAGTCCTGATTTGAGTCTAATTTAGTTCTACGTTAAATGCCCGAAGGTTTTCCATCGGGCTCCTTTGGTGCCACAATTGGGAAAATTATTACCGTTTTCCTCACTTGAAGATTTAAATTGTAGAACTGAAATTTAGAGGTCTCATCTCCCATTTGTAGCGTTATAGGAGCACTTATTGCACTTTTTCGATACTACAAATAGGAACTTATTTCCGTTTCTTCCACTTGAAGGCTTAATGTAGAATTTAAAATTTTGACTCGGGTTGCAACTCTGTTCGATCCGCTCGATCTTTACGTTTGCAAAGCTCGTAAATGAAGAGCGAGGAGTGCAAATCAAACTGAAACTTTTCGAGACTTTTTCAACTTTTTTCAGAACTAATTCAAGTCATATGAAACTAGTTCAAATTTAAATTGACATAAATATAACACCTGTCAATCTGTCAATATAACGAGATCTCTCGTTTTCTTGTGGTGAGACTTCGTGGTGAATAAATATTCATATTAATGTGTTCGTTGCATCTGTGTCGACAAGTGTTTGAATAGAAAAAAATTGAACGTATCGAAACGAACACATACATGTTAGTATACCCGAAAAGTTACTTTTAGAAAAGTTAGTGAAATTTGGTGCATTTTAGCAAAATTAAGTTAGCAAAATTTGGTGGATTTTTTTGCTTCTGACTGAATTTAAACTCGCAATTTCGCCTTGCGGTGAATTACGGCTCAGACGCAATGAAAGGAACAAGGAATCAGAAATTAAATATACAGGATAAGGAATAAGGAATAAGGATATTAGAGAAGCGAACTATAGTTTGAAACCTAATAAAAGGAATAGAGAATAAGATATACAAGAACGAGATCGCCACTTTTGCCATATTTTCTGACGAATCTCTGCGGTCATCATTAACACCTTTATCATATTCTTAATAATGATCGATTGATTCAAACTGACTTGCATTCGTATATTGGTGATTATTAGACATTTTGAAAGTTAACTATCAGTCAACTTCTAAGCACTATAAGCACACGAATTAGATAGGAATAGAATTTCGACGGTGTTCTTCATTCTATTTCTTTATTCCTTCGTAGCGGATTGAAGCGTGATTGTTCATATGTCGACATTTAATTTCCAATATTTAATTTTCGTTTTTTATTCCTTTTATTGCGTCTGAGCCCTGATCCTTTGCGAAACGCGAACGACACCGCGAGAAAGCGCAGTCTCGCAACGGTTCGTGCGCGGTTCCAGCACAAAATCGATCTTTATTCTCTTCCGGCCGCGCGTGCACGCAGAGGGATCGTTTGTATGTCTGTGGACACAGTGGATGAAGGTTTCTTTTACGAGCGTAACGTATGACTTTTATTTTACACAGGAACGCGATCGCTGCGCTCCGACGTGCCTCGTTTCTTTCTCTCTTTCTTTCTTCTTTTTTTTCTCTCTCTTTCTTTCTTTCTCTCGCACGATCAGCACGAAACATCGCTCGCTAATTTCGTCTCATTCGCGTCTTTCACTCTCACACGAATTCTCTCTCTCTCTCTCTCTCTCTCTCATATACATATACATACATAAGCACATACATACACACACGCACGCACCTTATACCGCTATAAGAGCGTATCCGATAAAATCTACTCCCTTTAGAGACAAGTTTCTGCCCCGTCGCTTTAACCGCGGCGACGAACGGAATATGTTACAAAGGTGAGAAAACGACAAGGACTCGGGTGACTTCGTGACTCTACTTTACTTGGAGAAAAAGTACCGAGGTAAGTCTCTCCCGCTAATAGAAGACGTGACTCGCCGGTTCCGCGTGAGATACGACTCATGTTTCGTGACGTTTTGTTCGATCCGTTCGATTCTCGGGTTCGCAAAGTTCGCGAACGATTGGAGAAGTCGAGGACTGCTCGAAAAAAAACTTCTTTCATTAAATCCCGTAATTTTTCCTTTCGCTTCCCAGTCGAGAGACGAGCGCGTTCGTCGTCGGGGAAACATCGCTCCTCCTGCCGTTGCCCGAAGTCCGACGCCGGTGTGCGGAATTTCAATGTTTGACCGCGCCGAAATGATACTCCGCGTTTTTGTACGTCACCCTACGTAAACCGATTACGCTATCGAGTCGTCCCACGTGCACCCAACGGGAAGGCAAAATATAACATCGAGGCCGCCTACGCGCGCTCATCATGATCCAACGAACGAAAACATTACCCGTCGATTCGATCCGAGATACTTCATTAAGCTTCGACATTTCTCTTCCTCTCTCCCGAGTCGAAATTTTCGACTAACTTTCGACTCGAATTTTTTCATATCCGTAAGTTCTAGAGAATCAATGTTCGGTTCATTTATGTGGAAACTTAGACTAGTAAGTCTTGCTTAGTGCTTTTAAATGGTGGAAGACGCACAAAATGTCACTTGCAGGTTCTAAAGAGGATCTCAGCTAAGTCTTGTAAAATCCTACGGATCCTTCGAACCTAATCTGTTCCTTCAAATTTAAATAATATATTTATTATTGGTTATCCAAGGAGATCATTTTGTATTTGACATGAATATTTTCGTCAATAAATGTCATGTACAAAATGATATTGAATTAATTCCTATTGACATTATCGCTACAGCTCATGTTCACATGATTATTAATAATGAAATGTACGTAGGCATTCCTGTAAATCTCAACGAGAACTTGAATAATGGTGTTAAATTAATGATTCGAAATTCTTCCCGCAATTTTTAAACTTTAATGATGACTATGTTTCCAGTAATTATATAATAAAATGTTTTGTTTCATAAAAACTAATACGAGTTGCTTGTTTTCCTTATAAATACATATTTTAACATATTTAAATTTCTATGTTTAGTATTTTAATTCATTGCGACAGAATTCAGAAATAGTTTGAAAAAGAAGAGTTTTGATTTACTTATATTTGGTTTACTTATATTACAAAAAAATGGAGAAGAATTGAGAAATATCACAGTAGGAGCAACGAACGATCCAAGTAGAATTTACAGACTTTAAATAGAAGCTGCAGGTTAAATAGAAATCAAAAGAGGTCGCTATAGACTTTAAAGTGTCTAACTTGGCTTTACATGGAATGTTGAGGTCGGAAATAGAGCTACAATTTCAGCTGGAAAAGTTAAATAGAATCAGACGAGGCTCATACAGGCTTTAGAGTATCAAAGCAAGCGTCAAATGGAATTTTCAAGTCAAAAGTAGGATAAAAATTTCGACTCGGGTTCTCTCTCTTTTTCTTTCCCTCTCTCTCTCTCTCTCTCTCTCTCCGTTTGTCGCTATCGTTGAACTTTGAGAAGAAATTATAGCAGATTGTTACAACAGCGTCAAGATATCGTGTTACCCGCAGCTTGAAAACAACTCAAGTTCGCGAATTCCAATTAATTAGTTAATAACGCACGTCATCAATTACAAATGTTATCGCCGTACGAAGAAACATTCAGAGAGAAAGAACGAGAGAGACGATCGGATCGTTTTCACGCGCGATGTTTACCGCGTCGGAACGGTCGATTCGTCTCGTTTCCGACGCGGACTTCCTTCCGACGATTCGCGTCGGGAGAGACGAAAAAGTCCGCAGGACGAACGCACCCTTCCCCTCCCCCCGATACTTTTCTTCCCACGGCCGGAAGTGCTCGCACGAGCTCACCGTTTCCTTGCCGAAGACTACGAAGGCGAAGACGCTGACGACGCTGCAGACGCATCATCGCCGAGATCGCTACGCGTGCGGGTGCGTGTGCGGGTGCAGGTGCGACGAGAGACCGGCGAGGCCGGTGGAGGAAGGCGTCGAGGTCGGCGGCGGGCCCGCCGACGCGGTCGCCGGGCTCGCCGACAGATGATGGCCGAAGAAGGTCGGCCCGGTCGGCGGGTAAGGTGGCGCCGCCGGATGGTAGTACCCGGGCGGCGGCGGCGGCGGTACCGGCGGCGGGTGGTGCACGTGGGCGTGGGGGTGCGGGTGCGCGTGCGAGTGCGGCAGCGCATGCTGGTGCGGGTGGGCGGCGAAGAGGAAGGCGGGCGCGTACGGCGACGGGTGCGGCGGCGTCGTCGGCACCGTCGGGCTGTTCACATCCAGCCCCGGGTTCTGCTTCTTCCACTTGGTGCGCCGGTTCTGGAACCAGATCTTCACCTGGGTCTCGGTGAGCCGCAGCTCGATCGCCAGGTTCAGCCGCTCGCACACCGACAGGTATCTCGTGGTTTTGAACTTGTTCTCCAGGCTGACCAGCTGCTCGTACGTGAACGCGGTGCGCGCCCTCCTGGGCTTGCCGCTGCCGTTGCCGCCGCCACCGCTGCCACCCCCGCCGCTCGTGCCGTTCTGCCCGTTTTGACTTTGACCTTGACAGCTGGCCACCTGGACGCCGCTCGACGACGTGGAGGACGACGAGGATTGCCGTTTCTTGCTCGTGGTGCCGTTGCCGCCGGCGCCGCCGCCGTTCGCGCTCTCCCGGCCGGTCGAGTCCTGATCCACCACTCGCATCTCGATCTCCTCGTCCTCCTCCTCCTCCTCGGGGTCCTCCTCCATCTCCTCCATGACGGTGTCCGGTGTACCTTCCTCATCCTCTTGGCCGCTGCCGCAGGCGAACTCGCCCCGCGAGTCACCGTCTGGAAAATAATAACCACGGGATCAGTTTTGCGTCGCGCGACCGGGTGGAAGCGGGGGACTCGAGATACGGATATACCGGGCTCGGTGTCGGGTGACGAGGATTGATTATACGAGGGACCAAATTGCGCCGTGGATGTCGCGGTTCCCATCGCGCCGCGTGATTTTCACCGTTCGGCCGCGAATTCATTTCGCTCGTCTCACGCTGTCGCCTCTTTTAATCCGTCGTATCCGATTTACCCCGAGGAGCGGTATCGACTCGAGGTAGAGAGAGAGAGAGAGAGGCTCGTCGTGAACTTCTTACCGGCGAAGTTCCGCGCACGGAGAGAGAAACGTCTCGATGCAATTAGCGCCGTTGATTACCTCTTAACTACGGCGCCGCCGACTACACGGCAGTTAATGATCAATTCAAGAGCCGCACGTCCGATGACCGCAAATCGCGTCGTTCGTCGAGTTAACTCGATATCCGCCCGATCCGGAGATGACGAAGGACCACTTGCCGCTGGAGGACGCTGGAGGAAGCTATTGCTATCGCGTCTCGCGAAAGAGTCCAGCTGCGGCCGATCGAGTGAGCGATCGGAGTCACTACCATCGATCGAGCCTGCGGACGATCTGCGCGTGAATCTCAAAAAGAGAGAGAGAGAGAGAGAAACAGAGAAAGAGAAAAAGAACGGCCAATCGTTCGCTCAATGAGAGAGGAGATTGGAGATTCAATCAGCACGCAGATGTCCCGGGGACAGATATTCCCTGGCTCCGGTCCGTGGGGGTTGGGGTGCCCCTGGGATGCCGTGAGTGGGGATAGCCTGTGCCGAATAAAACCAGAGAGAGAGAGAGAGAGAGAGAAAAGCAGCGGGAAAGAGGGAGACTCCGAGAGAGATAGAGAGAGAGAGAGGATAGACGAAAAGCAACGAGGACGGTATGTCGACGTTAAAGCCTGCGAAAGAGAGAGAGAGAGAGAGAATGAGAGGTCGAAAGCGAGAGGCAGATAGATGACGAAAGAGAGAAAGAGTGAGTAAATGAGAGAGAGAGAGAGGGGAAGTAAGCAAGATAGACGGAGGGAGAGAGAAGGAGACAGAGCGGGACTTTATCCGAATTGGCGTGGCCCATAGCCTGCAACCTAGCACAGTACCCGGGGGGTTGGAAGTCCGTAGGGGGCGACGGATCGAGAAGGTTTACGCCGTAATGGGATTTGTATCTCGTTAACGCGCGATCGTTCTTGCCCCGTCGTACAGGCCGCCAAGCGGCTACCTTTCCCATCTCTCTGTCTGCCTCCCCCGCGTTCTCTTCGGCCTTCTTTCGCCAGCTATACATCGTCGCTACCGTTCGTCCGTCCGTCCACTCGTTCGTTCTCGTATAACGCGGTCCCCCACATCGGGGTATATACGCTACCTGCCGCCCTGGCCGGCGCCGATTGATTGCGTCTAATTGAATTGCGTAATTTATATTGTTTCTCCTTCTTCCCACTTTGTCGCCGTTCGTCCACGTTCTATCGAGAATTGCGCCCCGTACCGGCGACCCAGGTACAACGGACCCTTTCATGACCCAACGAGAGCAGGTCTGCTGCACGAGAACAGCGGCTCTTTCCGGTCTACTTCGCTTCTAATGCCGCGTTCTACATTCGGCATTTTTGCCCTTCACTCGACTCGTATTTTCTCTCTTTTCTCTCTGCTTCGAATCAATGTTTGTCTGCCTTAAAAAATAATACGTTATCTTATTATCGCTTCTTTTTCGCAGTGTTGTCTTTTTGTTTCAATCGTTGCTCATTTTGACAGTTTTCGCGTCATGGAATTATGGAGGAATTATGTATCTTGACATTTTGAATGTCAAAGGAAAATTAATTACTATAAAATAATATGTAAAATTAAAGTTCTCTACGCGATATAGAGAATGTTAAATAAATGAGTAAATAATGTGGTGCTGCCGTGTTTCGTCAGTTTAAGGTCACGGGAACTGCTGAGCGGACACAAGCGATCACAATATTCCTTTACGTGAGATTAAACAGATCGGGAGACGTCGCGCGTGATTTCCGGCATTTCCGAGTCGATCGAAATTTGTGTGAGACACGTTATGCTAATTGTCTTTGCTGAAATCATTCTGAGCACTGGTAACGTCCTGGAATCTAGAGGGTAATTATCACCCTTTGCCTTCGTTGGTTTAAAAAATAAATACCATTTTGAACCGAGATTCAAAGAGCTTTAAACTTAAAGCTTTAAAGAGTCCCTGTTACTCGACCATTTGTGATCGACGATCTGGGACGCAGATATCCAAATAAAAATCAATGTTACAATGATCACGGAGAAAAATGATTTTGTTGTTGTGGCGAAACCGTCGATGTTATTACATATTCGTTGCGTTAGTTGACATAACCAAATTAGCCGAATTATCCCGTGATTGGAGCAGAAACAGTTTGTCGCTAGAATAATTTTGTTGAATGAATTATCGTTAATTTGCTGTTAGAATAAAATAATGTTTTCTCGTATATTTACTAGTTTGTTCTTACGGCAAAATAATTTGTAGATTCAGTGAAAGGTATTTATATATCCAGTGAATTGGTACTCTTAACAAATCGTTTTGCTGTCCACATAGTAATTGACAGATTTTGCTGCGATAGTATAAAAAATTTGCTGTGCCAGCAAATTATTTTTTCCGTGATCATAAACGGTCAATACATCAGAATATTTTTCTCGTTGAGTCATTAATTCTCTTATCTAATCAGCGATGTTATATTTTTTGTTTTAGATTTGTAACAGGAAATGCGTAGTCCTGAGTTTCCGGTATTTGACTTGTGAGTGAAAAAAAAGGTTTATGGTGATGGGTTTCTTGGTGGTTGTTTAATTAGTCTTTAAAAAATCAATGCGATTTACTTTTAATTCATATGCACATTGAGAGAAAGACACGGCTGATCTCGCTACGAATTATTATTATTTTTGACGGCAGCCACATTTTTTGGTTGTTCTAAAACAAAATAAAATAAAAGTACTACTAATAAAGCACTTATCAAAGTGGATTCTCCGACTGTAATTATTTCACCGAGCAATTACATTCACGAATACTAAACGTTTTTTCTCTCAGTGTAGCATTTTCTCGCGCGTATATGTTTATACTGTCCATTGAAATACATCGGAATACACTGAAACGCTTAAGAGATTGATTTTTTTTTTAATAATTATTAAACGGGTATTCTAATTATCGAATATTTAAAAATATCGGTTCTAAATATTCTCTTTTCAAACCTATAATCTATTAAACTTCGGTAAGCTTATTTATATACATATTTTAGCACTCATATAATATTTTTTATTCAAGATACAATATTACCGGGCGGAATTAATTATTCAATGTGATCTCCTGATTGTTTCAAGCGGTGTAAAAGCGCACAAAATTGCGCTGCCGCATGCGAAATTCGCGATTGCACACTCTGCGTGCGATAAATTTGACAGCCCTCGCGATCGGCAATTTTGTACATTTTCACACACGCGACGGGTTATATTATTTCGGCCGAAACAAAAAGTTCGATGTCAAAGTTGGAATTAAGAGATAGAACTCTCACGAAACGAGAATCCCGTTTTTTGACGGCAAAACGTAAACGTCCGCGGGGATTTTCTTTTTTCTCTCTCGATCTAGTCGCGGAAGTGGTTTTCAGGTTTGCGGCTTTTAACACACACGAATCTCGTGACTCGCGCGAGTGCCGTACGTTCTCGAAACGCTGTAATTCATCGTGTACTTTTCGTTCGGTCGTTAAACGTCTCAAAGTATCGTCATAGTCGCGAGTGAAGTGAATGAAGTGCGACCGACGTGGGACAGAGGCTGGTTGCCGAATATTTGGACCTCCGGCTATGGACGTCCAGGCATATCAACGCGCAATGGTGAGTGTACAGATTTCTGGTCGGACAGATTTCTGGCTATTTTTTGACCCGGAAATAAGAATCAGAATGTTCCGAGATTTGACTGCCTGGAAACTAGCTAGCATTTACTAATCTGTTTAAACCGACTACTTTCCCACCAGTTATTGGCCTGTTATGGTCCTCCTAAATGATTTCTCTACTGATTTTCTATTCAGTTATTGAATAGTTACCCGAGTCGAAATTTTAGTCCTAGTTTAAGTTTAATTTGGTTTTATATCAGTGTTCAAAGATCTTCTATCGTACTCTTTTGGTGCTACTAATAGGAAAAGTACTGGCATTTTTCCCACTTGAAGACTTAACGTAGAAGTAAAACTTAGATTCTGGAGGACTACATTTCTTTTGTAATATTTTGTAGCATTAAAGGAGCACTTATTGTGCTCCTTTGATACTACAGATGTGAACTTATTTCCGTTTTCTCCACTTGAAAATTTAATGTAGAATTGAAAATCTCGATTTGGGTATTGGGTCTAGGTACTGATTTGTTTTCTACTCAGGAACTGATTAGTTTTATTATCTAGTTACTGCCGAACTAAGCGTCGTCCACAGTTTCTAACCAGAATTTCTGACCAGATACCAGCTAGATTCTTGTATTTTTTACTCGGATAGTACAGGCTAACCAGTTCAGCGAAAGAGAACAGACTTATTATTCGAAAAAATGTTGGACGAAGAGAGATCAACGACACGCGTTTCTATATTCGAAAAAAATATCGATGCACCCTTGACGATGTTTTTCCGAAACGTTTCTCCCCGGCAGGCGCATTATCGACACTGTTTCGTCGACAGTTGCGAGAACGCGAAATTAATTGGGTTCTATCGGGGGAATTAACGGGGCAGGAGATAGCGTTTCTGTCATTGCGTTTTTATGGCGGGCAGGATCGCGCGCAGCAGGACCATTCGTATCGTTCAGATCTTCTTCATTAAGCACGATCAGGCGGGTTGCACAAGCGAGTGAAGCGATCGGGGATGTATACCGTAGTCCCTAAGGGCCACGTTAAGGGTACACAAGGGGGACCCGGTGTCGCGCGGTGCTGCGACAAAGGCGGTTGCCACGAGAATACTTATCTCATTTCGGTTTTCCTCATTAAACACAATGACAGTGTTTAACGACAAGTGGCACGATCGGAGTACGCGCAATAAACAAAGTCCCTGAGCGCTTCTGCGCCGCGAATGAGCGACGGTTCGCGTTTCATCTCCGAATTATAATGGAGATTTTTAATGATAACGATAAAAATGTGCAACCGAAAACGCTTTGACATAATTTCAGGTACGGTAATGCGAGAGAGAGAAAGAGAGAGAAAGAGAGAGAGAGAGAGAGAGAGAGAGAAATCCTCAAATACTAAAAATAAAATACATAGAAAAATAATAAAACAACATTATAATAGAAATAAAGATGGATATCACACACATACATACATAGAATACAATTAAAAAAATAATAATTAAAAGGTATGAGTACGCATGAAGAGCGAAGGCAAAATGAAAATCAACATGACGACGTGAACCAGTATAACAAGGAAATATGAAATTAATAGTAGAAATTAATAATAGACAGACAGACAGACAGACAGAGAAAGAGAAAGGTGTACGTGTATGTGTGAAGTAGCGCGGACTGTAAAATAGAATTTAAAATAGGATCCATAATGGGACCAATTAAAGTTATAATTATATCAAATGGAAGACATTTAACCTCGCTTGTACAGTATAATTATGTATCACGCCGACGCAGGAGCCTTTTCGCTCTCGATTATAAATGCAACAGCTGCGGGAGGCGATATACACGGATCGGCGCGATTTCTACCCGGCGTACCCGAGGCGTGCGTAAGACAATTATAAATTTCGTCGAAATCTAGCGGAAGAGCCTAGATCTCGTGAACGCGAAGCACGGAGGGGTGACTTCCGTGGGTGCCGCGACAACGTGAAGAGGCTTGGGGACAGAAGAAGGGGGATGAAGAGAGCGAGAGAGAGAGAGAGAGAGAGAGAAGTCGTATATGTATGCGAGAAAGAGGGACGAAGAGAGACAGAAGTCATTGTGATGCAGAAGAGCCAATTTTCTGGGCGGCTTGGCGCGATGCGGTGCGATACGGCGCGATGCTGCGCGATTATCATAACAACCGGCGATATTATTCCGTCGGCGCGGATCCGAGGGCGGCGGAAAGAGGGAGAGAGAGAGAGAGAGAGAGAGATGGCGGTAGTCGAAACGCGGATTGGCTCGGGTCTGATGCACTTTTAATGGGAAGCGGCGACCATCCCGGTAAGATGGATGAGCCGACAATCGTGTAATCTCGATTTCGACGGCCGCGATCGATCCATCGCGCGTTTCCCCGCGTCCTTCTCCTTTCCTCGGGAAGACGGCTCTACCTTCGGCGCACGGTGAAGGACGACGTCGGGGACGACGTCGAGGACGACGGGCGGTCGAGCGTCCACTGATTTCGCAAGCACTCGGTGTCCCGTACCGGGATAAAGGGACGACGATGACGGGGTTCAAGGACTGGTTAACGCAGATTAGCGGAGCAATTTGTCACGCTCCGACAGGCCGCCGGCCGCTCCCCCGCCGTCGTCCGCTTCTGCCTCGCTTCACCCCTTCTTCGGGGCGCTTCTTCCGTCCCTTATCGGCCCGCAGGACCACTTCTCTCGTTCGCTCGTCTGCCGGACTCCATTAAATTCGAAAGTCAACTGTGAAATTGGGATCCTCTCCTCGGCGGACGGTCACCGAACTCCGCGATCCGCCGCCGATAAAATCCCACCCCCTCCCTCTCGTCGTCATCGTCGTGCACGCAGGGGTGCGTTCCGAAATTCAACTTTGATTAGTGGGAGCTCGTAGCAAACGTGATATAAATCGTCAAGTTTCAGCAACGAAAATAGGCTTTTGGAACGCGTCCCGGAGGTCGTTTTTTGAAGATCGGGGGACGTAGGGGACGGGGGCGTTCGTCGCCGGCGATCTCGGCGGAATCGATGATTGTTCGCGCCAATGCGCACAGTTGGCGTGCGGTTGTCTCGTCGGCGAAATAAGCTCGGCGGTTGATGACGACGGGGTGTGCGCGTGTATGCATGCGCGCTTCCACCGCGGCGCGCGCCTCGCCAACTAATTGTACACGGTCGATGTTAATTATTCCGCCAGCCGTCAGAATTTCATGATACGCGTACACAGTCTTTCCGGGGCGAAGCTTCTAATAGTCGGCCGCTTAAACCCCTCCCGGTGGCGTCAGCTTCGCCGCGCGAATTCACGGTTTATCGCTGCGTCTTGTCGCGATAAGCGCGCCCGCGATCACGATCGCTAATTGGCCGCGGCGTTAATGAGACGCTGGAAGAGCGTTTCGTACTCTCGTTCAGCGTACCCGCACTGTCGTCGTCGTCGTCACTTTAGGAATCCCCGTGTATCGTCGTACACGCAAATAGCCCGACAGCTCCCGAAATTGCACGATCGTCGGAGAAGAAGTCCGCCTTCTGACGTCTAAAGTTAGAACGAGGAAGAAGCGAGAGAAGACTAGCCGAACGTCAAGAGAGAGAGAGAGAGAGAGAGGGTTGAGGCGGTCGGATGTGAGAGAACACCGGACGCGAAAAAAATATATCGCCCGTTCGCGAAAACTCGGCCTCAGCGGCCTCGGCATGAAGAGAGTCGACTTTTCTCCGTGGCGGCAAACAGCTGATCGGACAATACCGCGCGGATATCCGTCCTTGACGCGGCGGATTAATTCGTAAATAATGTCGGTACAGTGTGATCGACGGTTATACGGATTTTTAACTCGCGCACCGTTAGAAGTCAAAAGTTACTCGACAAAGCCGTCGATCCCGAGTCGAATTTTTGTCGGCCTGCATCGCGTCTAGTTTTGTTCCGCTTCATTAAGGGCCGGTTGTTTCACCTTTAGATAAATTTATCCAACGGATAAATACTTGAAGAACGTTCTCATACGGAGATAAATCACAAGAATACGAAAAAAATTACTAGCATGCTATCTTGAAGATATTGTTTGAAGAACAATAATATACCAGTAACTTTTTTCGTATTCTTGTAGTTTATTTCCGTACAGAAACGCTCTTCATGTACTTATCCGAGGGTGGAATAACTGGCGCCACATCTTCAAAAGTCTTCTGATGTGCTCTTCTGATGCTACAAATGGGAAGTTATTGCCGTTTTCCCCACTTGAAGACTTAATGTGGAAGTAAAACTTAGACTTTAGGGCTCCCGATTCCTATTTGTAGTATTAAAGGAGTGCTTATTGTGCTGTTTTGATGTTTACAAATGGGAACTTATCGCTGTTTCCTCCACTTCAAAACTTAATGGAGAATTTAAAATTTCAACTCGGAATGTCGCGAGTGAGTCGTTGCACGCAAGTTTCCGATTGTCCAACACGCCAACTTCCGCGAAAACGATTTGCGTCCTTCTGCATTTCATGCTCTCGTTATTATTTAGTCGCAGCCCGCGTGGAAATTGTCCCATATATGGCATATATTCCGATTTGAGTGTTCAAAGTTGTCCAAAAAATAGGTTGTCCCACTGCGATACCAATTGGGAATCCCATTCTTAACCCAAACATGAGACGAAGTCTCTTTTCCGCGGTACTGATCGGCTGTATGCTGTACGCTAGAATCGAGCGACAGTTTGATTGAATGTCAAATTAAAAGGTTAATAAACGGGGTTATGAATTTAATGTTACTATGCTTAATAGCCGGCGCATAACGCGCGCGTATATGTGTGTATATGTATAAAAGTAAACATTCAAAATGTCATAAAGTCTAAATATTTAAGGTGCCTTGTACATTTTGTTCAATCGTAGAGTTCAGCGTAAAGTTCAGTGCAAAGTGAAAAACAGGAAGAAATCTTTGGGAAAACGTCGGCGGTAACCGAATAGGGGTTGTTCGTTTAGTTTCTCATTTAGAATCGTATGTTCGAAATACTACATTCCTAAGCGAAACCTGCGTAGATTTCCCAACTACGTAGAAAAAAAGTGTTAGATTCAAGTAAACGTAATTATCCGCTTTTTCAGCCTTTTGAATCAAGTAATATTTTTATCAATTTAAGTATACTTTAATAGCTCTTGCAATAAATATTTACTTGAACGCGATAATATCTTAATTTGTAAATAAATAACAGAGTGTGCAGGTAAAATGGTACTCCATGGCCGGTATTCATAGTCAGATTTTACAACCCGTCTTAGATTCATCTTCAGATGCTATATTTTACTGGCTACAAGGCAGCTGAAGATAAAGTTAAGACAGTCTTAAATATAAGATTTGACTATGAATATCGGCCTAAATTCAAGAGAGTACTCGCTAGTGTCACGTGACATTTCTTTTCCACTGAAGAAACTTAATTTTTTCAGATTTACATTTTTTCCGATCAATACTTTCTGATGATAAATTCCGATATTTTCAATATTATAAATCCAATACTTGTCGCAATTGTTTTAACGCATACAAGTAAGTGTCTATTTGCACGGAGGAAGTATATTTTGTGCAGTCAATAATATCCGTGCTTCTACTAAACATACGTTTGCCAAGGACTATTGACTACCATTTTACTCGGATCAAGTAAATATTACTTTAACAGTGCAGCACTTTTCTTCAACATAGAACCCGTAATTATACCGGGAAACTGGATCCCAATTAGATCGCAAGGAATTTTNGGGGGGGGGGGGTGACACGTACGCCCGTTGAATGGTGGTCCAAACGACTTTTTCCGCGGACGGAGTCAAAGGGATTAAGTTTAGCCCGTGAAAGGACGACGTGTGCCCGCCTCGGAGCAATTAAATCCTGCGTGAGAGACGCGCCGCTGACGGCGTCGCGCGCGTTCGGTTATTCTTAGTATTCATTCGCTCGAGTAGCCGAGGCGGCGTGAGTCTCGTCTCTCTCTCTCGACGGCGATCGAGCGCGTCGGCCGACGAGAAACGGGTCTCGTATTCACCTTCCTGCACGCTGCCGGCGCGCCGGTGTCGACGATGCTGCACGCGGCTGTGCAGGACGCGGCCGCCGGTGAACTTGTTCGGGTCGAGGATGTTCTCGACGGAGAACGCCAGGCACCGCTTGTTGTTCGTCTGCTGGACCGCGCTGGCGGTGGTGGTGATGCTGCCGGCGGTCGACGTGCCGGTGGTGCGCGCCACCGCGCTACCGGAGGTGCACACCGTCATCACGGTCGAGCCGGTGGCGCCGTGTCCGGATATGTACACTGGTGTCCCGGCGGCCGGGTGGCCGGCAGCACTTTGCACACAGGTAAAAGAATGCACGCCACGGGTGGTGAACGGATGGACGAACTGCTCGGCGGCGGTGGCTCCCCGGGAGGACGGGGCCGTCAGGTCGACCGGGCTGCTGGGGTTGCTCTCGTCGGCCTCCTCGCGACACACGTCGACCTCGACGTCCTCGTCCTCGTGGTAGCCGCCGTTGCGGTGTCTCTCGGAGGGCCCCTCCTCGTCGTCCTCCTCCTCGGGCTCCTCGTCGTCCTCCTCGTCGTCGACGACGTTCCGTCGGCCGTTCCGCTCGTCCTCCTCCTCCTCCTCTTCCTCTTGCTCCTCCTCCTCCTCGTCGTTTTTCTCTCTGCCGACTATCTGCGGCTCCAGCTCGTGGTACTGTTCCTTATCGACGTTCGCGGGCCGCAGGATCGTCGGCGAGCTCGACGGCGATTGCTGCCGCACGCCGTCGTACCTCGGGAAGGACTCGCCGGTGCGGACGTGCAGCAACACGTGCCTCCTCTCCTGCAGGCCGGCACGCACGTCGGCCTCCTCCCGCGGCAGGACGACCGGTCCCAGCGACGACACGGCCTTGCCTTCCTGCATCCTCCACATTACCCGCTCAGTGAGGAGGCGATCTTCCTTTAGCTGAACCCCCTCATCTTCGGCTCTCCTCTCCTCCCCCCGAGAATCCGGGTATCCCTCGGACCGGGCAGCTTCGAGCGAAAGCCGATCCGGTCGGCCGCGCGTCAGCGCGGGCTCATCGTCGCACTTTTCCGGCCCGCCGTCACTGACACGCTCGGAGACACGAGGCGCGCACTCCCGGTACTCGCGGCGAATCGTCGATTCAGGGTATCCGGCCGCGCGATTAGCAGTGTCTTTCCGACGCGTGCCGGCTACACTCGGGACTCCCACGGTCGAGCCATGGTGGCGGAAAATCGCTGGTATATCGGCGTATTATTAGCGCCGCCGGAGAGGAGCCGTCGCGCGCGCGGAGCCACCGTGGGTCCGAGTGGAACGGCGAAAGCGGGGGTGTTTGTTCCGCCTCGGCTGGGCGTGGTTAACCCCGCTCTCGGGCTGCCCGAAAAGCTCCCTTCGGCCGGCAATGGGCGGTGCCAGCTTTCCGCGGGGGTTGCGCGCACACACGTGCTTTAACACGCTCGCAACCGAGCGCTCCGCGCGCGCGCGTCTCGGTGTGCGCTCGTACACACGCGCACACACGTCTCCGGTGGCTGCACACTGGCGCGTCGCGGCTTGAATGGACGCACGAACACGCGGAGAGAGCGCGTCTCTCGCTTCCGCCGGATACTCGGCTGTGTACACACAGGTACCACAGGTTCCCCCCTCGCCGGGGGAGCCCGCCCTCTTTCCGCGATATCGGACCGGCTAAAGTGGTTTGTCTTTGATTTAACCAGAACACGCCGTCGATGAAGGAACACCTTTCCCTCCGACGCGCGTCACCGTTTCAACGAAGGCAGGAAGGGAGGGACGGGGGAGGCTGCCCGCCAGGTAGGTAGGTGGATAAGGGTAGGACGTGTGGAGGAATTGTGCGCGCTCGCCGCGTGTACTATACGCGAAACGTCGGTGGGCTTTTCGCGATGATCGTGTGCCGACGTGGGGGCGGCGCATCGCGTCCTCTCCAATGGTCGTGTATAGCGATCTCTCGCCGGGGTGGAAGTGTATAATCGCGATAGGTAGTTGGGTATACACACACCGGCTATCTCCTCTCGCTTTGGACGCGCGCGCGCGCGCGCGCGATCAAACCAGAAGCGGCGACACACGACCGGTTGGCCGATCGACGGACGGACGAATTGATGTGAGAATCGCCCCTGTGTGTTGCTGATGCCGCCGACGTTGGTTGCCGCTACTACCGCTCCGCTCTTAACTCAGCGCACGGATATTGTTTACCCGACCATTTAGGTAATTGCTGGCCTACCGCCCTGCCAGCCAATCGAACGTAACCGGCGGATGCGTCTGCAATACCGATCTCTCTCTCTCTCTCTCTCTCTCTTCCCCTCGTCCTCTCGTCCCTGCGTCAACAACCCCTCGCTCGCCGGTTCCCTCTCGTGATCTTCGGCCCTCCCCGTTCCCCTCTGACCCGTTCTCCTCCTCCCGCACTGTNCCCACTCGATCATCATCGAATTAGCTCGGGACCAATTGTTCGGTGAGACCAACGCCGCTATTGTCGCGATGATCGATTCTTTCCAGGAAATTGGCGAGATTGCGAGGACACACACGCTTTACGGCGGAAGATTGCGGCCGGGAGGGGCGCTTTGACAGTTTCCATGATCGCGCATTGTTCCGGTGTCGCGCATTTTAAGAGATGAATGAGCGGCCGGGGGTGGAAGCGTTTCGAGCGAAATCGCACTTCGTCGGAGCCATTGAAAACGCAATCGAGCTTGGGATAGTTTTATAGATGATCAAGCGCACCCCGGCGGCCGGAAGTCACGACGAGGACGACGTCGCCAGTTAGATGACCGTTTCGATGAAACTCGCGGCTCCGACTAATCCTCAATTGTACCGCCTCATTATTTGGTTAGCGGCCGGGCGAGGTAACGGCGCGGAGGGCAGTTAAACCGCGCGAGGAGGTATCGTGTTATCGTGTTTCGCGAAAACTAATTATCGCAGCCGCCGCGGTTAATGCGATAATGGACCTTTTATTCATCAGGTCCGAGACCGTTTTGTTAGCCGCGCGCGCTCACACGCTGCCGAATCTTCGGCGAATTCGAGCGTTTCATAAAAATCCCAGCTTCTTCATTAAAAGCGGAGTTCCGCGGGAAAGCCGAAGTGAATTAGCGGAGGTACCCGCGGGGAGAAAATCTGTGTGGAAAAACCGACCGACGGTTCCGCAACGCTCCTTGCTGCTCTTTTTTTCTTTCTCTCTCTCTCTCTCTCTCTTTCCGTCGACCGTCGGCGGGAAGGTGGTATCCGGCAGAAGTAGTCGCGCTTCTCATTCCATCCTGTCACGTAAACGAACGAACGTAATAATTCACAGGCCGTATGGCGCCTGCAAAAACAACCCTGCTCGCCCGTTCCTGGAAACGTCGTTCTAAACCCGATGTCAATTATCCGCGAACAAATGAGCGCCAGTTTACTCGCGTCACTTAGGGCCGATTTACCTGACGTCGACCGAGGGACTGATCCTTGTTAGTTACACGTCTATTTTCTCCCCGCGCCGTCGGGATCGCGATCGAAGCGGGAAGAACGCCGGGACGAACCGAAACGGTGAGCGAATCGGTAACACTGGGTAAAATGGAAAAATTGTACTCCGCATCTGTACCGTCGATTTTAATTCATCTTGCGGTGCTGATCGCGAAAATAACAATTAAAATCAATACTTCCAGCTCTAGTCCTCGCCATATAGCAAACAATAAGGAACTTGATATTTGAGACTTTCGTGGTGTGAAGTAAAGGGAATGAAATCATCTCTTTTAAGGTTAATTCTTCAATTCGAATCGGCATGCATGGCAGTTTGTGAGAATTTGTGAATGAAACGTGTTTTTTAGTCTTCTGTAGAAAGATAGAGACTAATCTCTACTTTTTCGTTTATATTTTTTTATTTCGAGATCGTTAAAAGACGCCTGATAATTTGACATTAAAAGAATGTTAACTTTTCTGGAATATATAGTACGAGTATATGTGAATTATGAGCATAAAAATAAGAAATTCTAGTAAAAATATGTCCTATTGTTTTATTTTTATACTTCGTACCTAGCGTTAATTTATAAAAAGTTAAATGTAGCTTATATTTCTGCAATTATGGCTAAGTAATCTTTTTTATTGTTATTTTTTAACACGTAAACATAAACCGAAAAAATGAAAATTCAGAATGAATACAATTTATGATATAAAGTTTATCAGCTAATGTAATCTTAGACTCGGAAATTTCGAAATGACAGTCTCACGTTTTCGATAATTTTCGAATGTGACTGGTCGATTCGTTTACTTCTCGACTCTTTGAGCGCGGAACACTTTAGAGTTGGGCGATTACTGAAGATAGAGTACCTTGAACTGTCGATGAAAGAATTAAATGATCAAAAGTAATGGACCGAAATAAATAAAATTGTATTTATTTCCATAATACGCGCGCGTAAAAGAACATGAATGTAATTTGATTATTATTGCTTGTATCGAGAATATAAACCGAAGCAACTTGTCAGATGTCAAATTGTAATCGTATAATAAAAGAATTATAGTTAGGAGAATCATTCTTGTAGTAAGTGCCACTACACACGGTAAAAAATTTGTATGTTAAAAACCACCTACTGAAATTTTTGTGTTACTTTAATACGAGGAATGTGTTAAGAGGCGCAGAAATAAAATGTTTAATTAAGAGATTCATCTTTTGTCGATATATGTTGACAAGACGAATGTGTTAATTTAACATTATATTTATGTATTTGTTAACATATGTTCACGAACTTTTTAACACATTTCCCATATTAAAGAAACATAGAGTTTCAGTTAACATAAAATATTTTACTGTATATATAGCGTTAACTTTGTATACATTGAAAGAAAAGATATCTAAAAAATAAAAAAATATTTATTTGATGGGTACTAACATCATATTTACTTGAACCTAAATTCTTTTTATTTAAGTAGAACAAACCATTTCATGAAAAGCTACCGATTGAAGAAAACATATATTATATATATATTTCCTCATTTGAAAAGAATTATTTCTCAATGTAAAAACATGCATACCAATACAATTAAATACGTTATTGATACCCACCGAATAAATATTCTTTTTATTTCTCAGCTATGTTTTCTCTCAGTGTGTATATCGTCGCTGCTATTTTTTGCTAGGACAAAAAGATACATCCGGCGCCGAAAATAATGCTAATTTTCGCGACATCGGTCATTTTTTCTCTCAGTGCATATACACATCTGCAACGCTGAAAACGTCAAGCGTTTCACCGCTTACCTTTCTGCATATGTCATCCGTTTGACAATTAGCG